TTTCAGCTTACCCTCATTTCTAGCCCGTGGTTTGATACACGTAATACCTGATGTTTTACTTCCAATTTGTATATAAAACTGAACAAGTCTGGGAGAAAAAACATACAAACTTTAGTTTGCTTACAATCAAAAGGAAAAACAAAACCTCTATCATTCTCAAGTACCACTTCTAAAGTCAGAGGGACAGATGATGGATGGGCAGGAAGATACTGATAATGGTAAGTTAATTTGGCAACACTTAAAAAGTTAAGTGATATGAGCAATGACTTTATTCTGTATAATAATGTAAAGAAAATAAAACAATTTAACCCTATTTCATTGTGACAGCTGATGTAATTTCATGACAATTTTTTTTTTTTAAATCTAGATAAAGTAATCTTGGAAACTCAAAATGAGGGAAAGAGTTTCCCACGAAGATGTTAAAGATTTAGAAGGACAGTCACTTGTCCAATATTGACTTAGAGTGAGCTGGCTAAATTTTCCACACCTGACACTCAGTGTGATGTAAATTATGCCTCTGCCCATGGCAACCAATGAATCCTGCTGGGCATGCAGACTTTTGAGGACAGGATGCTGAAAGAATATGGAACAGACTAACAGCAGAAAAAATATGAAAGGCAACACCAGAGTTTTAGTAAAAACCATGCCTAAAACTTATTTTTTTTCTCATTTTCTTCCTTCTAGTTTCTACATAACTTAATTGATGTCAAAAGCTCAGTTTCATTTCAGGTGTGCTAGTATTTCATTTGACCTTAGAGCCAAACAGTTCTTGGTTTCACCGGTAGGTGGCAGGGCAGTCATTTAAATTTGGGGGCGCAGTTTCAGTAAGTGACCACAAATGGACCACCTAAGTGTATGGAGGAATCATTTTTGGACATCAAATTCAAATTACTTCATCAGTTTACATTAAGAACATGTAAGAGTTTACAGATTAACATAGAACTTTTGTAAACTAAGGTGAATATATACTAGACATGGAGGCTTGACGCTAAGTGTGTGCTGATTAACGAACTCTGGTGTGATTTTTTTTTTTTTTGCATTACCCATATATTTTATTATACAGCTTAACTTAAGCTTCATTTTTTTACATATTATAATCCATAGGTAGAAGTATTATGCAAGATTCTCAGCAACAACAGTCTACTATCTTCAGAAGAAATGTTCCAATCAACAACTTGCCTGATATTCCTGGTGTCCAGTGGGACAGTCCTGGCTTCCCGTTTCCCAAGGCCATTGAAGTAGAGGGACCTGCCATCGTTGAGTGTCCCACAGCCAGTCCCAACCTGACCTCCTGTTATCTTGTACCACAGCGGGCTTAGCTTTCCTTCAAACCGATCGAACATCTCACTGTGGTTAGGGATGTCTGACACACAGGTTCCTTGTGCAGCTTCAGGAAAAGAAACATAGAGAATCTTTGTTGGGATCACTAAGGATTAAAAGATACACTTGATACATGGGCAAGGAAGAGTCCACACTGTGCAACTCTTTGCCTAAAGACAGACATTATTACTAAAAATAAAAATTGTTGCTAGGCATGTGCTGTGTGCCCAGAATCCCAGCAGCTGGGAGACAGAGGCAGTAGAATCAGAAGTTCAAGGCTATCCTTGGCCACCTAGTGAGTTCAAAGTTAGTCTGGGCTACATGAGACCTCCTTACAAAGATAACAAAAATCAATGAAATTTGCCATTTTTAACATTTTAAAAATACTTTTTTTAATTAAAAAAATCATATGTATGTGTGTTTCCTTGCACGTATATGTGTCTGTACAAGCAAGTGAGGGGCTTGTGGAAGCTGGAGGCATTAGATTGCCCAGAGTTACAGACATAGGTAGTGGTGAACCACCCGATGTAGGTATTAGGAATTAAACCCTGCAAGACGGAGTCATCTTTCCAGCCCTTGCTATTCACTTATTTTCAAAGAAGGCTAATACTGGGAATATTGGATCTCCATGGGTGCTCCTACCTAGGGGGCTTGTGTGAGCAGAGATCCTATCCATGATAAGAATTAAAAAATGCTGTCCTCGAAACTATATGTGACACAGAAGGCTTGCAAGAGCAAGTCAGTCTGTTTCTGGTTTCTGGCCAGATGAAGGACTGAGTATCAACAAGCTGGGGAGGGGCCTTTGATGTTGCTGCCAGGAAAACTTTAGAAGCAGATTTTGTAGCTTAAGGTATTTTCTCCAAATTTATGCTTTAATCTCAGCTCTCTCAAAACTTTTGCTATGGCAACACCCAAAGGTGGATGTTATAAAAAAAAAAAAAAAGCAAAAAACAAAACAAAACAAAAAAACCTCTAAACTTCTCTTATAAAGCTATCATTTGACAGTCTTGGGCTTAGTAATTTATTTTGTAGTTAAATATAGAGAAGTATATTTCGTGTGTGTGTGTGTGTGTGTGTGTGTGTGTGTGTGTGTGTGTGTGTGATAGATAGATAGATAGAGAGAGAGAGAGAAAGAGAGAGAGAGAGAGAGAGAGAGAGGAGGACGCTGAAGGCATCTCGTTAAGAACGTGGCTTGGGTTTTAGAGAGCAACTGTGAGCATAGGGCCCATCTCTAGCAATGCCCAGCTATGGGATCCAAGAAGAATTATTAAAAAATCCACTCTCTTGCTTCAGTTTCCTCAAATGTAGACATGTTTAGCAGTACTATGGAACAATTTTTCTTACAATCAAATGAGATAAAGTAAAAGGTATTTACTATAAAGTTTGGCATGATGTAGGGCCCTAAGCAATGTTCGTTATGATTGCTGTTATTAACAAACAGGTCCTCTCTGGGGAGTGGAACTTAGCAGGTTTTCTTGCTCCTTGGCTTGAAACTACAGAACACTTGGCAGCTCAGTGCCTGGATGGCCAGTTCTAGGATTCTTAGACACAGAAAATGACAAACCCAGAATATGTTTTCTTTGTAAGAATGAACTTTCACAAGCAAACTGTCAGAGACACATACTGGCCTTACCTGTGTATCCCAGGTCACAGAAACACACACCCGAGATGCAGTCTCCGTGACCACTGCAGTAGCTGGGGCAAGGCTCAGATATATACACTCCATCCAAGCCGAAGGGAGGCACGTTCTTCTGAGAGCTGCTCTCTTGGATCCATCGGAATCTGGTCTTGCTGTTGGGAGGAACACAGCCACATCTCAGCAAAGAAAGGCCCAGAATGACTCAGGAGAGTCGGACTTCCTGAGTGGCATGCCGTGGGATGCACACCGACCTTTCATATAGTATCTCTCAAATCTTTCTCAAACTGCCTGATTTCTTCTTCAGCATCAATAGTTTAATGCCCAGAAGGGATTAGACACAACGGTCTAACATTTTTTTCTACAGAGGACCTTTGTGCCAGATCTATTACAGGTTTTTTTTTTTTCACGTTTTCTCACCCCATGCTCTTTCAGGAATAACCAGAGGTTATCCTTTCTAGTCAGTCTTCACCCCTCCATCGTGTTAATATTATGGATAGTATTTGAGAAGCTATTTGAAAAAAATGTAATTTATTTATAATTTGACAATTTCATGCTTGTATATAATGTATTTTGATGATGCTTACTGGTCATGATGCTCTCTCTGGATCCCTTCTTTACAACAAATTATTTGGCAGGTTCTTGGGGTCATTAAATAGGTTGTTTTTGTTGGGACATATGAAGGGACTCTGGCTATTTGGTATCGACAAAGGAAGGCAAGAGCTTGACAGACAGCTCTATTGGAACCTGTCACTCCCCCTTTCCTCCTCACCTCATCTTTAGATCTCTAAGATGCTTATTCTGTGATTTCCTAGTGACCAGATTGGATGCCTCTTAGCATTGTTAATTGTGAATGCACAAAGAAAAATTGCCTTTCCTGCCTTGAGTTGGGAGCGTCAGACTGACCGAGGCTCCACTACTGTGCACTTGTTTACATTTCTCTACGTTGCACCCAGACCTGATGCCTGCTCCTGCTCTCAGTGATGCAACACTGGGTATGAACACAAGAAAGCTGGTACCTTCAAAGCTGCAACAGAGACAATTACAGAAAACCACAAATAACCAAAATGCAGAGATATGGAGCCCAGTCCTAACCGATCACCTCTAAAACCCAATTCCTACACCCAAGGCTCAGGGATCATGGCTGAAAGAGTTTAAGAGCCGAAGAAACAGGGAGCTTGCTGTGAGACTGTGTCTCTTAGGAATGTGAGAATCTACATCCATAAAGTTCACCAACATGTCTACCTAAACAGGAGCTGAACAAGGCCAACAGACATACTAACTCGCACGGGGAAAAGCTCAACTTTACTCAAAGCACTGCAGGCTACTAAGGAGTGCCCAGTGGGAAAATAGTCTTCTCCAAGGAAGAGCATACCAATTGCTTATCCAAAACATACATAGAAGTAACATTATACTGACTAAGCAGGTTGTACCTATGTATTTAGGAATACACACACACCCACACACCCACACAGCTACACTCACACCAGCAATGAATGAGGAAAGAGGCCATGTATTTGAAAAAGAGTAAGGAGGGGTATATGGGAAGATTTAGAGGAAGGAAAGGGAAGAGGAAAATGATGTAATTATATTACAATTTCAAAAATAAAAGAAATAATTAAAAATGTTTATTATAACAATGATGGTGATAATAATAATGATGATAAAGAACTTGTCAGACCATCCAAGGGAAGAAGGCAATAAGACAAAGCTTAGCTGAAAATAATGTGTAGATTTCACATTAATACGTAGGAGATACAGCCTTTGCAATAAGTTGCTTGCACGTTTCTTCTGTCCCAGTGGGGCTGCCTCTGGGAGTTGGGAGTGGCATATACACCAATATGCATTTACCACTGACAATGTCTGTATTCATAGGCAAGAATTGGGTGGGCTCATAGGAGTGTAAACTGCTCCTTTGAAAAATCCTCTTAGAGTTATTTCTGAAAGAGCAGCGTTCTAGTAACTATTGTAAGCATGCTGCTTCCTGGCAAAATAGCCCCCATGTTTGAACACTTGTATTCTTGGCTTTTGAATACTGTACTTTGGAGTTTCACGAGCTTAACATATTGCAAAAATTAAACCAATAGCTCATTTACTTGGGATAAGTACAAACATTTTTAACTACTCTTTGCAGAAGGCTCTTAGCCACAAATGCCATTAGTCAGTAACTTGGGTGGAATCCAAATTAATCAGGAAGGTGGATTCTAATGGTGAAGATTTTTCTTTTTCCAAAAACTAAAATCCAAGAAAATACTGAGAACCTCAAAATGCTGGCCTACTTAATGATGTGAAGGCCTGTGGTGATATTGTGTTCACCAAAATATTGTGCGCCCTAATAAACTTATCTGGGGTCAGAGAACAGAACAGCCACTAGATATAGAGGCCAGAAAATGGTGGCACACATGCCTTTAATCCTAGCATTCCAAAGCAGAAATCCATTTGGATCTCTGTGAGTTCAAAGCCACACTGGAAACAGCCAGGTGTGGTAACAAGAGCCTTTAATCCCAGGAAGTGATGGGAGGAAGCAGAAAGGTATTTAAGGCATGAGGACGAGGAACTAGAGCTGGTTAAGCTTTTAGGCTTTCAAGAAGCAGTTCAGCTGAGATCCATTTGGATGAGAACTTAGAGGCTTCCAGTCTGAGGAAACAGGATCAGCTGAGAATTGGCAAGATGAGGTGGCTGTGGCTTGTGCTGTTTCTCTGATCTTCCAGCGTTCACCCCAATACCTGGCTCCAGGTTTGTTTTCATTAATAAGACTTTCTAAGATTCCTGCTACAAAGGTCAGGCTTTCCTAATATCTCATATATGTTTTTACCAACTGGGCCATTCTACTCACTAGTGAAGAAACTTTAATTTACAGATTTAGCTACATTTTTCAGAAATCACCACTGGATTTGTGTTCTTTGACTCTTGATGACACTTTCTGTTTTCATAGTGATGTTTTTCATTGCTCGGATACTCCAGTCATTGCAGCAAAGTGGTCCACTTGGTGCTTACATATTTGGAAGAGCTGTTTGGGGGCCATGGTTTCAGAAATCATTAAGGGAGTGGTTGAGGTGAGGAAAACAAACAAGCAAACAAAACCAGAGCTGCTCTGATAGAGACAGCTTCATGGGAGGCAAGACAACATGGCCATCCCAGATGGTAAACATTACATAGGCTGATCCTTCAGAGATGGAGGCATACAGGGCAGAAACCAGGAGTGGAGCGCAATGGGCAGGAGAATTGCTCTCAGGGAGAAGTGCCTTAGAGAAGGAAACTCTTGTCCTAGACACTGCTCTTGGCTAAAGGAGAGTGAATTAACAGCTTTGTGGTGATGTTTAGTCTTCCTATGGGCCAGGTAACTGACTGCCATGCACTTCCCAGTTCTTCTTATTCTCCACTTTGTTTTTCTCTGCTGAACTACAAAATAACACTGACATTTAAGACAAGTTACATGTAACTTGACATGGATCTGATGATTGAAACAGTTTAGTGGATGGTTTGAAAGATTATGCTTCAAGGTTTGACTCATACAGAATTTTATGTCTTTGATCAAACAAGCATCCCAGACATTTGCCCACCAACAGCTATAGTGCATGTTCTTGGGGTTATACACTTAACTAATGATGGAGGCAGACAATACAAATAGCTTGAGTAGCTAGCTTATGCTCAGTAAATCTGTGATCAATTAGGTGAAAAATGTTACAGAAAGAACAGTGCTCAGCAGCTTTGTGAATATGCTACTTTAATCACCACCATAGCAGAGTGCAGGACAGGTTACCCTTGGCAACCAACAACTCCAAACCCCGTGAATTAGTCCAACACAAGTTTGTTTCTTACATAATGTGTCCAGCATAGGTTGACAAAAAATCTGCTCTTGCATTCAGGCCTGAAGCTGGTGCATGCTTTAGCTCACTGCATGGAACATGAGGAATGCACCTGGTTCTAGAAAGCCAAGTGCTTCATCCGTTCACAATTTATTAGGTCATTTTTCAAATTAGGCCATCTGTCAAATTTTGAAGAATGTGGGCATAAGCCTATCTTATTCCAGGAAATAAGACTCTTGGAGTATTGCTGAATGACACCAGTGCTTGTCCCAGCTCTCTATGCTACACTATCAAGAAGCAATGTAAACAAACAGTGCCTTCCACCATTTCAGTTCTGAAGTCAAAGGCTTGACTAAGGCACACTTCATGTTACACTCCAGAATTTAATTAAGAAGTGTCTGCTTGAAGAATGTTTATCTTTTCTAAAATGATAGAGTGAAAAAAATAATGATCTCTCCCTTTTACCTACTATATCTGATAGAAAATGCTATAAAATTTATCCTAGAATATTGGACCTTGAAAAACATGTCTTTACAAAAAATCAGAATGTATCTGCTTTTCTTCTTCTTCTTCTTCTTCTTCTTCTTCTTCTTCTTCTTCTTCTTCTTCTTCTTCTTCTTCTTATTTATTTATTTATTTATTTATTTATTTTCACTTACCAATGGGGATGAAACAATACTGCTTCTTAGCTGCCAGGAAGCTGAGAGCTAAATTAGTTCCCCCTTTATTGAAACTGATTCACTTCAAAGTTTTAGTCCATTTATCTTATCCTCCATCACTGCATTTTTAATTTTCTATGTTACTATTTGTTTTAGTATTCTATTTAAAGTGACCATTTACACTGCAAAATACTTCAACTTTTCTATGTATGGAGCATTAAAAATTTATGAATGGCAAAAGTTTGATGTAAGGCCATGTGGTTCTTTTAACCCTTAACATCTTTTGTTCACTGCTATATACCAGTGTCCAGAATTGCATTTGGCATAGGTAGATGATAAACAAATATTTCTTGAGTGAATTAATAGGCTTCATCATCTACTTATGCTATTTTGGCAATTCTATTTCAGTTCTTAACCTTTTGCCTCAAGTCACTACTTGGGTAGGAACAGCCAGACTGTATGACACAATGGCACACAATGAGAGAGGATGCTTTACCTGGATGCAAGGGACCTTGGAATAGCAATGGTGATTCTTGTCCATTCTTCAAAGTCCCCAGTGTAGTAGACGGTGGGCTCACTCAATTCTCGGGAGTTCCCTTCACATCCTTTGCCTACTGAAGCTGGAAAACATCCTTCCTTCACCAGAAACCAGGACATGCCAGCATCGTGTGAGTATTGAAGGAGAACTGGGGCAGTGCTGCTGAACTGGCTGGCACACCCTATGTTCAACTGTTAGAGAGAAGGGCAGGGCAAGACAGGTTTTCATTCAAAGACACTGCTCATCACCTTAGGAGCAACGGCAGCCTGGGCCCCTGCTACCAAGGTGGCATGACATTTAAGTGATAAGAAGGATACAGTTAAGACTCAACCTAAACCCTCTGTAAATTCTGGAAGGTTTTATTTCAGCAGAGAGCTAGACAAGCTATTGTCCTATGGGTTTCTAGACTCAGGAAATGTTCTCATTCTCATTCCCAGAGGGAACAAACAGGTAGGAAGCCCAAGAAGCAGCTGTCCTTCAGAACATGGCTGCCCAGAGCGAGGGCTACCTCTGCTTGCCATAAAACAAGAGTCATGCTCGCTTGTTCATTCATTCATTCATTCATTCATTCATTCATTCATTCATTCATTCATTCATTCACTTATTTATTTATTTGTTTGTCTTGTCCAAGATCAGTTAAAAAAAAAAATCCAGTGTCAAGAAAGAGCGGAGTTTCTGTCATAGCACCAATTAAATAACACAATGCTGAGATGTTCTGCCCAAGTCAGACGACTATAAACATAAAGTGACATTGTTTAAAAGCTGTAAAATATGCAATAGCCACTGCCTTAGCACAGCTATTCTTTTGTTTTCTGCCGTTTATTTAGAGGTATGTATTCTGGTTATATAGTTGAAATGATCACATATTAAGAAGTTCCCTCTGGAAAAGCTGGTGGACTGACCAGCCCAGCTACCACCCAGGCCCAGAACTAAGGCTATGAGTTGGCCCATCCTAACATCCACCTCATCTATGAACTGCTGGAGCATGTGAAGGGGACGAACCTACAGATCCAAAACAGCAAGGTCCCCACAACACAGGACAACAACAGGATATCCAAGAGGAGCCCCAGTGAGAGCTCATTATCAACAGTGCAGCAGAAGCTTGGACCAGGCCTTGGACCAGACCAGAACACTTGCAAGTGAAGACAAAGGGACGGTGTGAACTGTGTGACTCATGGGCCACACCACAGCTTCCACAGTGAGCTCCTTGTCCCCCCCCCTTTTTTTTGGTTTAATTTTTGGTTTTTCTTTTAAATTTTGTTTTGTTTTGTAGGAGGTTGCAAGGGCAGAGGGCAAATGTACATGGGGGGAGGGAGGATGGGAAGATGGGTAGAATTGGGATGCATAATGTGAAATCCACAAAGAATCAGTAAAAATTAAAAGACAAAAAGAAGTTCTCTCCCACTTCCTATTTCAGACTGTTTTATTATTACATGATATACTGCAAAGGATACACAGTTCTCCCCATGCAGAACCTAATGTGTACATTACCATGGTATTTGGGATTAATTAAATTGAAGAGGTATCAGATGAGAGGTGGTATAGTACTCTTTAAAATCTATAATATGATTTTATATTAGTATCAAGTGTCACCAACACATGCATATAAATACATGTACTGTTATTGATATTTTTCCATTGCAATTTAATATCAAAACATGAACAAAGGCAGATCACCATTTCCTAATTGATGTTAGGAAATAAATTGTTTCTATTTATGACTAACTACCTTGTGTATAGGTCTGTGGAAATTATATTAAAGAGCCCCCCACAAACATCTGATCTATTTAATAATTCCTCTTGTACATTATTTAGTGTCTGTACCCTGTTGTAACATAAGGAACATGTAGTTGTGCTAGTTCATTAAAACTGCATTGCTTTTGACTCCAGAATTCACCAATGGGATTTTATTATAAATAAACACAATGAAATTTTGATTAAGTTCTGAGACAAGAGCTTGTCAAGGTAAATTCTCACTGTTTTTGTTGATATATTATCCAGTGTAAAAAAAAATGTGCTTTAAGGACAGTGACGAAAGGCAGAGTGAAAATTCACCAAATTACAGGAAGGGAAATAGAAAATGCTATAGTAAGTGCATATGGTACAGGCTAGGGTTGGAGCTCGGTTAATATGTGCAAGGTCCTAGGCGTGATCACCAATACATAATAAAAACATAAGCCACAAACCACTAGTGAGACAGACAAGACTTACCTAGAATGATTTGAAAGTAAGGAGTTCATTACATCACTCTCAGATTGAAACAGTCAATTGTATTTTCAATTATGGAAGAGTTGCATGAACAACATAATGCTGTAGTTCAACTTCTGCGACTCCTTGAAAACTAGCCAACTGTTTCCCTCATGAGTAGAGCTGAAGAGATTTACCACCCTAAGACTGTGGGGCCTTTACTCAAGTGTGTCCCCTCTTTAATAGAATATGAAAATTTGTGTTCTCTGAGAGTTTTGCATATGAAAGTGGGAGAACTTTCACTTCTTTACCATGCTAGAAAGAGCCCTATTGCACAAATACCTTGAACTGGAGCACATATCCAGGTTTCAGGGTCAGATCTCGAGTAACTGCAAATCGGTCTCCATCTGACTTTCCAAACACCATGGCTGAAGGTGTGGCAGCACAGAAACTATCGTTTTTAGCCATCCCTTCATTGGCCAACATCAACCACACACTCATTTGATTCATAGGGTAATCAAAAGCTGGCTTCTCATAAAAGTTCTAATAGGGACAATACAAAATAAAACAGGAAGACAGTTTGATATCTTTGAGAACAAGGAAGACATGTTCAGTTCATGACACGTAGACCATGTACCATTCACGTTTCTCAGAAAAATCCAGAGCCACTAAACTAACGTAAAAACACACCACAATTTCCTCTTGATGATTTAACAACCAAAACTATTTTGCCACCATGTATTTAACTATTTAAACACACTAACAGATATTCTGATATCTAGACTTCACAGTCTGTCTCACATTTGAACAGTCTGTGAACTAGCAGTCCAGGACTGAGCTTTCTTACTACAGAAGGGACGGCAGCCACAGAAAACCAATCACAACAAACTGACCCAAGCCCAAACAACCAAACACACAGAGAAAGGCAGCAACCCCACATATGAACCACAAACCAACACAAACAAAAAAGAAAACAGCAAAAGAGACATAAAAAGCGCAAACCTAACGCGAACAAGCCAATAACCCACTCCGGCGAAACACACAGAAAAATGAAATCGACAAATAACCACTGCGCATACTCACCCCACAAGAACACGGGCTGCCACCACCACAACCGGAGACAGCGGGACCACCAAGCGACCAAGAACTAAACATACACAAACCTCCACAAAAACAAATCCACCAGCGCTAAGAAAACAAAAGCTGCGCCGTTCCCAAACATGAAGAAGTGACTAAGACACAAGCGAGACGAGCTGGAGCTACCAACACCTGCGAACACCACAAGTACCAGAGTCCGCACAGACCACACAGCAGGCCCGGGCAAGAACAAAGACCAGTCCGCAGCCGACCACATCATCACCAACTCAGAGAAAAAAAACCAACTCACCCCAGCCGCAAACCCAACTCACACCCAGGAAAAGATCAGGTCAGAACACAACGAGCAGAGAACGGCCACACGCCAGCAGAGAAACAAGGACACAATGCACAAAGGACCGGGCACGAAGAAGAAGGCAACACGCGAAGCCCACAACTCTTCTGTGGCTGCCGTCCCTTCTGTAGTAAGAAAGCTCAGTCCTGGACTGCTAGTTCACAGACTGTTCAAATGTGAGACAGACTGTGAAGTCTAGATATCAGGATAACTGTTAGTGTGTTTAAATAGTCAAATACATGGTGGCAAATAGTGTGACTGTGATTTTCAGTTTTCCTCTTCATGGATTCTGTATTGCTTCCCATTTACTGTTGTCTTTTACTATTGGGAGGACATCTGCATTTTGTCATTTTCTTCACAGATAGATTCAGTATTGTCCGTTAAAACCGTTTCCTAATTTCCTTATTTGTTTGCTGCCATGTCTTTCCTCATAGCCTCCGGCTCAAAGTTTCTTAATCAGTTTAGTGTCATTTGAAATCCGAATCTGGTTAATTTTTTTTAGCCTTCCATAAAAATTTCCACAAATAATTTTTTCTTTTTCTTTTTGTCTGTGCATGCATGTGTGTCTCTGTGCATTGGTGTGTGCACACCATTTATGTGTTCATGTGTCTCTGTGCATTGGTGTGTGCACACCATTTATGTGTTCATGTGTCTCTGTGCATTGGTGTGTGTACACCATGTATGTGTGCATGTGCATCTCTGTTCATTGGTGTGTGTATGCCATATGTGTGTTCATGTGTGTCTCTGTGCAGTGGTGTGTGATCACTGAGTGTGTATATACATGTGTATGTGTGTGCAGATGTGCCTCTGTGCACTAGTGTGTAATCCCTGAATATGCATATATGTGTATGTATGTGCAGATGTGCCTCTGTGCACTGGTGTGTGATCACTGAGTGTGTATATGTGTGTGTGTGTGTGTGTGTGTGTGTGCAGACGTGTCTCTGTGCACTGGTATGTGGTCACTGATTGTGTATATATGTGTGTGTGTTCATGTGTGTCTCTGTGCACTGGTGTGTGATCACTGAGTGTATATGTGTATGTGTGCTTTCATGTGTATCTCTGTGCACCGGTGTATCAGTGTGTGTGTGTGTGTGTGCAGGACAACTTCAGGTATTGGTTCTGGGAACATTCCATCTTTTGTTTGAGACACGGTCTTTTGCTGGCCTGGGATTTTGCTAATTGATAGGCTGCCTCTTCACTGAACTCTAGGGCCTCCTGTCTCTGCCTTCCATCTTGCCACCACTGGGGTCACGAGTATAACCACTGTTTCTTGCTTTTCTTGTGGGTCCTGGGAACCCAACCTCAAGTGCTCACAAACCACCCAGTCCTCAGCAATTTATTCTTTTTTAATACTTATTGTGTGTGTGTGTGTGTGTGTGTGTGTGTGTGTGTATGATCCAAATCATGATCCTTTTGCCTCAGTGTGGTGATATATTGTGTCCCCCAACATATTGTGCACCCTAATAAAGCTTATCTAAGAATCAGAGGAAAAAGCCAGTCACTGTATTAGACATGGGTGTCAGGCAATGGTAGCCCACACCTTTAATCCTAGCATTTAGGAGGCAGAGATCCGTTCAGATCTTTGTGATTTCAAGGTCACACTGGGAACAGAGAGCCAGGCCTGGTGGCACATGCCTTTAATCCCAGCACTAGTTAACCATAAAAGTCTGGAGGTCTGTATAGACAGACAAGAAGTGACAGAGCTGGGCAGAAAGAGGAAATGATGCAGCTGGGCAGAGAGAGGAAGTGAGATTGCAGAACAGAAAGGCATATAGATGTGGGTATACAGGAAGTAGCTCTCTTTGGAAGATGAGGAGTTGGTGAGGTGAGGTTGGCTGTGGCTTGTCCTATTCCTCCTATTCACTCTAATATCTGGCTCCAGTTTTTGTTTTTTTTTATTAATAAGATCGTTTAGCAATTCATCTTACACCTCAGGCTTCCCAATACTAGGATTTATATGGTATGCCACCATGCCTGATGATATGAAAGATTTTGCATAGTATATGTGGTGGTTTGAATAAGAATGACCTCCACAGGCTCACAGATTTGAATGCTTGGTTACCAGGGAGTGGCACTATGTGAAAGGATTAGGAGATGTGGCCTTGTTGGAGAAAGTGTGTCACTGGGGGTATGCTTTGAGGTTTCAGAAACACATGCCAAGCCCAGAGTCTCCCTCTTCTCTTGCTGCCTGGGAACTGGGACGCAGAACTCTCAGCTACCATGTCTGCCCACATGCCGCCGTGCTTCCTGCCATGACGATAATGGACTGAACCTCTGAAACTGTAATGCAGGCCCTAATTAAATGCTTTCCTTTATAAGAGATGCCATGGCCATGGTGTCTCTCCACAGTAACAGAACAGTGACTAAGATAATATTTGGGGTAGAATTCTGTGGAAAGTTATGTCACCTTTAAGAAGAAGCCCAATTTTTTAAAACACCAAACTTATAAATTCTCAATCTACAAAATATGTAAATTTTAGGCAGCAAAACTCATTTGATTTGTAAGAATTAGATATGCATTTTCTTCAATATTTTTCAACACAAAACTTAGTTATAATATGTAAAACAGGACATTAAAATAAGTTAATACTGATTGGTGGTTAGTATATAAAGAAGACTTTATTCCTATATTAAAGTAGAAATAAGAGATTATAAAAATATATATTCTAAAAATGTTATTCTTGAGTAGTTTTATGTTATGTTCACATGAAACATAAAATTAAACAGAATTTCAAAAACTACATAATCACAAAAGCACCAAGTTTAAATATATATATATAAATATGCTGATTGCCTGGCATAGGCATTACTGTTAATTATGAATTATTGCCCCAAACTCATAATCAGCTGTTGCCTATGCTGGTTCATCCCATATATTCTCCAGTTATCAAAATCAAAGCCTGGATAGGTAAGTAGGAAACTTTAAAAATCTGAACTCTAAAGACCTGGTCACACACTGTCCAGGACCATCCCAGGGGACAGTCATGTGAAAACTCAGAACAAGAAAATCTCCATCTTGCTTAATTGTAACAGATGAGCATATTTTGTGTGCGCACAGAGTGAAAGTAAAATTCCCAAAGGCGAAGTGACGTGGAGCTTTGCTGCAGCTCAGAATGTCCTTGGTATCAATAGTTGGTCATTTTCTTGTAGTCAAACATTTCCCCAAATCTCTAAGAACATTTTTAAAAAGGGTTTTTGTTTTTGAGACAAGACCTCACGGGAGTCTTGGCTGTTTTGGAACTCGGGAAGCTCCTCCTGCCTTACCTTCAGAAGTGCTTTGGTTACTGGCTTGTTCCGCCATATCCGACTAACATATCTAAAAAATTGAATGTGAGTACAAGTGGTTTTTGTTTAATATCTTAGACGAACGTTTTCTACACTTGGCTTTCCTGTCAAGTCTTTATGAGTTTTTCTGTTTGGGGAACTGTCACATTTTAGAGACATTTCAATAACAATTGAGCATCCACCATCCCCGGAACACACTGGAAGGCCCACCAGTGGGAGGTTACCTGGGTTTGCTGAAGTCTGAGAAGTACATCTCTGCCAGCAGGTGCCACTGGATGCCCCCATTGTTGCTGTACTGGAGGAGGACGCCCTCCTCTCTGCTGTCAGGCCTGTTGCACGAAGCACTCTCGCCGCCTATCTGGATGTAGAACTGGACAAAGTCCACCCAAGATGTGTCCAGATCCCAGCTCACCAGTTGTCTTTTCCCAGCCTTTCCAAAGGACAGAAAAGCCCTGGTCAGTGATTTGGGAATTCTCTGGCATTTTACAGCTTGGTTTCAAGTCCACAGGAGCAACCTGCACTACAGAAGACAGTGTTGGTCCTAATTAATATGAGAAGAGTGAGCTCTGATCTTCTCTTTTCTCTACTGTGGCTGTGGTTCCTGCTTCTGGTTACACTTGCTTCACGTCTCCATCACTGATCCCCAGGCCCTGGTGTGAGACCCTGTGGCTGTGGCTCCTGCTCCTGTATACACTCACTTCATATCTCCATCACTAATACCCAGACCCAGCTGTGAGACTCTTGAGAATTTCCTACTATGCCAAAGAGTACTAAAAAATAGAGCAAAATTACTCAAAACACTTTCAATCCTTGCTTTATGAGTTTTCTAATGCCAGTGTAATGGAGAAGAAAGACCATGGACTTGGTGCACAAGTGTGCTTATGAAATCAAAGACCTGAAGAGAACCCTGGGTACCAACACTTAGGCAACACCAGGTTTGTTTTATTTGTTTGTTTGTTTGTTTGTTTTGTTTAGTTTTAGGCAGGGTCTCTAATTGGCTTGGAACTTGCCAACTAGGCTTGGCTGGTTGGCCAGTGAGCTCTAAGGATGCCTGTCTCTACCTCCCCAGTGCTGAGAGCACAAGTAGATATCATCCCTGTCTGCTCTTATTTTAATTAATCATTTTTATCATTTATTTTATTATTATTAAATTTTGAAACATAGTCTCACTATGCAGAATTGGCTGTCCTGGAACTCGCTATTGTAGACCATGGTGGCTTCAACCTACCTCCACCTCCTGAATGCTGGGAGGCTTGTGTTGAATTTTATTTTTCATGTGGGTTTTGGGGATTGAACCCAGGTCCCTGGCTGAGCCTGATACTATGATTCACTTGTAAATCAACTGGAGCTGGGTTTGACTCTCAGTATTTGATTTATTCTGTTCAGGAGCCTGTGGCCATTCTGAGCCCCTATTCTCTTCAAAGGTTAATACCTTCCTTATAGAGTTGTGACAATTGGATTCAACAGCATGTGTATTGTGTTGGTACAGTACCTGAATTCCTGAAGGCATATTTTCCCCAGAGACCTGCTCACAGCCCTTATCTCCAGAGCAAGTCACAGTGAAGTGGGCAGGACAGAACCTTCCTGACAAAAAGGAAGTTTTCCCTTTCTCCATCTGCTTTGCTCATCCTCAAGTAGAGGCACTGGGAGGTGCCATTTAAGTAAGCTTCTAAACCATTCAACCGTCTCTTATGTCTTAAAGGGTTAAAACTTTGCTGAAATCCAATAGCTCACTTCCTCCTCTTGCTGTATGTCCCTGTACATCAGCATGCTGGGAGGATCAGACACAGGTTGACAAGAGGTTGTCCCTCCTGTGTAATGGCTTCAAGGTAAGTGGCACAAGAAGGTTGATCATGAGAGTCTCCTGCCTAGCTAGGTTTTGCCAAAGTTAATTAATCATTAGGCTTTTCTGGTCTTGCTGGGAACATGGGAGTTCAACTAGATGTTGGGAAGGAAAACTGAGATGATATATACAGACTAGTGTGAAACCCTTCACGCCCACACCGAGCCTTAGTTTCATCTCCTTGGAGAGTTCTTCGGTCCCAGGAACTGGCAGGGGTGACTATCTGTGGGATGATTAAGGGAGCTTACTGCCATCGAGAGCTCTGAGGCTGGTTAAGAGTCCAAGAGAAACCGGGATGCTTGCCTGCAAATGACGACTGAGGTTGACCCCAGTGCAGGGGCTCATTCTTTAAACCTTTCACTGTCCAGTGGGAATTTGAGGAACTCTTGTTGTATGTGCTTTGTATTGCTTTAAACTGTTTGTTTGAGATATGGTAAATGAGAAACACCTCGTTTTTTCATACCCCAGGACCACCACAGGAGGAGAAAAACTCCAAGAGTTAGCAAGTTAATTTCAATCTAGAAAAAATCGATGAAAAACACAGCATGTGGAAATGAGCCAGAAGGAAACGGCTCTAAGGTGAGAATTCTACAAATCCAATTATCACAATTAGCTGCTTGGAACAGGGTCTGTTGTGGGCCCACAGCACAGGCTTCTTCCAGGTGACAGTTAGTCCATAGGGATTTGGAAACTGCTTTTGTAAGACTTTTAGAAATGGTGGGATATATTACACAAATGTTTTGTTTGGCACTGAAAATATGTTTTCATAGAGAAATAGCACATATCATTTCTTTTGTTCAGGGACCTGAAATGTTGAACATTGTTTCAAAGGAATTAAGAGAAAAAAGAAAAAAAAAAGGCTCATGACAAAATTTTTGTCAGAATATAGAATACGATGTAGTTAATTATTGCTTTGAAGTTTTCCTACTTTTTTCTGATCTATGGATTCATGCACACATATGCACACATGCACATGTGCTGTGGGCCTGTGTACCTGTGTTGGAGTAACAGGCTGTGCATGTTTTCATTCCCAGAGTGGGAAAATTATCCTCCAGTTGATTTGAAATACTGTGAGAAACACCTCAGACATCCTAGTATTTTCATACCTGAGTCTGTACAGGAGGAATGGTTTGTAGAAGAAAAACAAACTAGAGCTTAAATGGCTTCCTACTTTAAGCATTCAGCTAGAATAAATCAAATCTTATCAGATAAGGGAGAACAGAACTCACAACAAAGCCTTTAAAAAGCAGTGAATTTAAACCTTTTGTGTCTCACTATTTCCTTTATTCAAAATGCCACGAGAGACAAACTTGTATTTACTTAAAAGTAACCATTTCTTTAGAATTCCTACTTTTAGTTAAATCTATTAATTCTATAATAACTGTGTTACACAAAACACCACGAAAAGAAGTCATAGACTTGTGCAGAGACAACACGACAGGTGTGGCTGCAGACCAGCTGATCCTTGCTGAGTCTCCTTGGGTCACATGGCATTTAACAATTCCAGACCTCCTGAGACCTTTGAGTATCTATTGATACGTAAACCTAGACCATGGCATGCATTTTGAAGCTGGTCACTTTATCTAAAGCTCAGCTCAGCTAGTGTGACTGCATTCTGCCCAGCCCTGTGAGAAAGGCAGGAAGAGCACACCAGTTACTTATCAGGTCAGAGAGACTCTTAAGAACACAGGGCCTGGTATGGTTGCCCTAGCTCCTGCAGGCTGCACGGAAGCAGCAACCTTTCAGCAGGATATGGCACAGCTTATGTGAATGCACAGTAGGTGGAAGGCAGGGGGCCAGACACAGCCGTTAGCCATGGAAGTTCCCCAGCTGGAAACAAATACTAGTGAGGCAGGTGGGGAAGGCAGGTTGGAGAGTAACTTGGACACTTGTGGCGAACGAGGGAGAGGATGGAGGGGCTTTAGAAGCATTAATTTAGGGGGTGGTACATGACCTACAACTCTTCCGCGTGTTGATCACTTGAAAATGCTATACAATGGGGAATGTCCAGCTACTGGCTTCATCTCTCCCAAACTAGTGAGCACACAGCCTGGTCATTGCAGGCAGCACTCTATACCACTCCTCCTGGGACAGTGAGGAGCCAACTGGAAACCTCCCCTGCTTTCCCTCTGGAATGAGTGACAGTCAATCTGACACGGGGATAGAACAATAGCCTGTGAGTATATGTGTAACTGCCATCCCTGAGGACAGACCCTCCTAAGTTTTCCTTGTTTTGATTGCATGGATCTGATTTTCTACTCTTTTAGTTTAAGATACATTTTCCACTTAGAATTCTAAAGAGGTAGATGTTACTAGAGAAAAAAGGGAAAATAAAAATAAAAGGTCCTGAGATATTTTTACAGAAGCCCAGAGGGGAAGGCGGGATTGAGAGATGCAGGGAACATTTTTACTTTTGAAATGATGATTTTTTAAGTAGAAGGGCATATATGTGGGGAAATTCAATGATCCCATTTCATAATTTACTTTAATATAAATAACAGTGATGGCTAATACTTATTGTGCCCAATGTGACTCTTCGCTCTTTATCTGCACTCACTGATTACCCCCAACAGTTGTCTTTACAGACAAGAATACCAAAATGCAGAGGAAAAACTCCACAAGGGGAGCCAGCACCCAGGCTCTGAAATGCAGCTCACCAAGACAGTCTGACTTTAGAAAACACAAGCTTGAATTAAGTGGATGGAATACTAATCTGTAACCCAGGACATTTTATGTTTAAAATGTCCATGTATGCATGTACACACACACTTGCCAGTGAAATATTTATAATCTTATTTTAAAACAGATGCTGATAGCAAGCACAGCCTCCCATTCTTCAGGTTCATGTTTCTACTGAGTATTGGTCACTTATTGACTATTATCTCTAAAGTTAGTGATGGTAGGATTTTCAGTGTCAATGGCCAGGAAATGTTGAGTGGATCCATCCTGAATTCTATCCTTCTCTGTCTTGTTTTCTTGCAGAGTCTTTGTTTTGCACCTGCACCAAAACAAAACCTGAACCTATTTTTGCACTTGCATGAATTAACTTTTCTTGGATTTCTGCCAAAACAAATTATGTACTGTATCAGCCCTGTGGTATATCATCCAAACCTGTCTACTTGCTATAGGATGTAAATAGTGAGACATTTCTAATTGTTCCAGAATTGGTGACTATAATTGGTGACTAAAACTATCCCTTTTATAAAGTAATGGTATTAAGCACTGCACATCCTAAAAACAGCTGTCAATAATTAGGGCTAGACATGTCACTCAGGTTGGAGCCTGCTCCATGTCTTCTCTCTCTCTCTCTCTCTCTCTCTCTCTCTCTCTCTCTCTCTCTCTCTCTCTGTCTCTCTGTCTCTCTGTCTCTCTAAAACAAATAGGCTAATAAATAAACAACCCAACCATATTAAAACAAACAAACAGAGAAAATAAAATTAAATAAAGCAAAAAGAAAAACAAAAGCA